TCCAGAAAATCCCTCCAAGTCCCTGTAAGCACTGACATGTTTTGCCTGCAAGTGTCCTTGGAACACCTCAAAACTTGTCCCTTCACTCGGGGCAGGTCAGTGCTTTGACTTAGGATCCAGAGATTAGAGAATGCACTATGAGACCAATCCATTATGCAAATCTCACTAAACATAGCAGCAGCTAAAAGTTCCCTCAAAAATCTCAACAGTGAGGCTCACTGTTGCTCTCAGTCCCTTAAGACTGCAGATCAGCAGCCACTGTATTTATGCAGGGTCTGGAGTATAGCAACAATGCCTTCTGCACTAAAATGATGCCTGTTGAGGCACCCTAGCCACCAGGATTATTTAGAGTTAAGTGATTACCCACCTACACATGCTTTTATGGAAAGCACAGGGGAGAGGGACACCAGTCTTCAGGCCATTTAATGCTGTGATTCTCCCTGAGCATCCAGTCCACTGAGCAGACTGACTTACTTCTCTCTGGCTGTAGGGTCCCCCTTCCCTCCAAAACCAGGATGCAGCCACCCCATGACAAAAGCCTGAATCCCACATACCACGAGTCAGATCACAGCCTGCATGTGCACTTATGTCTGGACAGCTCAGGTAAATGTCTTACAGTCATATTGTGTCTTGGCGATGGCAAGGACTGCCCTTCCTCAGGGACTGTGGGGTGGGTACAGACCCTAACAATTAGGAGGTTTTAGCTGCTGTGATGAGAAGGGTTGCCTATGACACAAAGCAAAATGAATTCAATTCCCCCAGCTGCTAAATGACAAAGACTTCAGAGATACCATTCCTTCACTTTGAAGGATAGCAGGATACAGAAAGGGAGAAGAGGGGAGACTCATCCTAAAGAAAGAATGGCTACGTGGACTCCCCCTCTGCTGTATTTTTTTCTTCTCTAAAGAGAAACCACATGGTCCCAAAAGCCACAGGGAAAAAGGGAAGCAACAAGGGAGCAGAAGGTTGTTCTTCTGTATGCTCCAGCTTCCTTGTGAATAACAGCAATTTGTTATGTTGCAGGAAAACTGGGCATCTAGCTGGAGCCCTCCTGCAGAAATCAGGACTGGAAGTGTGTAGGTCTTTGACCTTACCTGATTCTCAAGGGCATTTTTCTTAGCTCTTTTGCAAACTGTGTTATATCAATTTCTGTTGCAGTATCAGGCTAAAAACCAAGCACAAAATTTAGATATCACATAGACTGTTTGCTTTTTTTGTCTTTTACTATCAATACTATAATGCAATATATTCAGAGTCTAACTTTCAGAGGGTTTGGAATTAACCTGTTCAAACTGTTATTGTTTGAAGAGCACGCATTTTTCTAAGAATCACCTGCTTTTTGTACCCATAAACCATGCACAGTATGGTGAGCTGGATAGCATCAAAGGAAGCAGATCTTTTTCAGTAATATAACATATTCCGTAAATCAGTTTGAAAGGTATTTTTCAGCTCATTTTGATTTTTATGCTTTCTTTTTCCTGCTGCTTGATGTAAAACTGACAAAGTAAAACTGACAATAAGCTGCAGAGAGATACAAGCTTCCTAGTACAGAGGAGTAAACATTTCTCCTAACAGATGGAGTAATTTTCACCTTTATTATCATTAACAAACTTCAAAACTCTATGCAAGTGGAGGAGCCAACACACTAGCAATGTACTTCTGGATGTTCTTTTACTGCTATATTTTTACAGGTACTTGTATATTACCTTTAGAAGATCATGTAAATTAAGACAGTATCAGCTACACATATTGGGCATCCTCTAGGCCTGCAGTCCAACACTTTGAGCAGGAGCACACCAATTGGACTTTGAAGGATAAGACAGACTACCCTCTCTGAGTCACTAAACCCTTATCACTCAGAAGCCAGTATTTTGCACTCTACAGCAACACTGGACTGCAGTTATTGCCTGCTCTATAGCACAAAACAGCTGCATTTTCCATGTCAAACACAGATGACATAAGAAAGTGAATGTCTAGCTGGCCAAAGGGGCAACAATGTAAATAAAGCCACTGCTTGAATGGAGTGGAAAAAAGCTTGGGGGAGCAAATCCTTAGGGGACACTTGATGCCTGAGTTGGCAAAGCTGTGCAACTAAACGGTATTTGTCCCAAAATGTCCATGAGATAATTTTTTCTTCGGCCGAGTCTTTATGAATCCTCATCATGTAAACCACCCCAGTCCTTTTCATAGCATAGTCAAAGAGAAGGTTGTTATTTTTCTCACTCCGAAGTGTATTGCTAGTAATGTGTGTTACTGAAAGCAGCATCATAAAGTGATGAAGTCATTATTTGAATTAGAAAATTACTTTTTTTTTTTTGCTATTCAGCTTTTATCTGTCTACAGTATGCCTTTTTTTTTTTTCCCTACTGTATAAAGACATCTAGCATTTGGAGTTGTTTTACATAAATTATTTTTGAAAGGAATACACATTATGAATCACAAGGGTTTAAAACTGTAACTGCATTTCCAGACTCATTGAAACTGCCCCAAATTTAGATATAAAAGCTCCCTGGGTAAAACCTGTCAAGATCCTTTTATAAAGAATTTAAAAAGCCATTAAGATTTAAGACATTTAAGACATTATTAATTTATTTCAGCATTTGTGAGATGTAGCAAAACTGCAGCTATAGCATTTAGTTTCCATGTGTAGCTTGTAGATTTCTCATAATAAAAAGGATTGTTTTTGTTATTTTCACAATTTTTTTCTCCACATTTCTTTTAGCTACAGACTAATTTGTAAGGGCATTTTGTTTGACTGAAATGGGCAGCAATTTAATTTTCTTTTTGTTTCTTTAATGTATCAGCAAAATCAGCTAGATGCTGCAAATTACTAAGAAATAATAATATCCAAAGAAAATTACCGAAATAAAGAGTAAATAACAGTGTTAAAGAAGAATTAATATAATAGGATCACTCAGAAACTATCAGGATCAATAATGAAATTAAAGTACAACCCATACTAATTTAAAAATTCAGTTAAAGGCTACATTTAAAATTACTAAATGTCAGGGGAAATATTTAAATTATGAAAATTATTATAAAGCTCTGACTGGAAAGTACCCATTTACACAAGCCTTAAGTCACCCATTGAGTCTATATGCATTGATACTCACACTATATTATTGAGTAGGAAATTATTAAGGGAAATGGGTTAGTTTCATTTACTTTTAAATATAGTTACAATACAAATAAAAATACAAATACACTTCTACTTTATTTCTTGTATTAGCTCCATCTGACTTTTATGACAAATACTTTTAAATTAATTTGATTTTCTGAAATATATACACTTGTACATGTACTTTAGGGATAGATTTAATAAAAACATGTTGAATAGTGAGTAGGTGATAGCAGCATGTCAGGGATGAGGCTGAACTGCTGCTGGGTTCTTTGAATTCCTCTCCTTCATCTACCATACATTTACATCCACTCCCTTTCTACCCCTTCAAAGCACATGCAAACACAGCTATCTGTGATTCACTGACCAAGTTTTCTGTGCAAATACCAGCAAAATTTTTGAATATGATCTTTAAAAACTAACAAAGATTTTTTTGACTGTACTCTTAAAGGATGTTGGCAAATAGTTAAACACTGAGAAGGGGGCCTGGAACACCTGCAACTGGGGAGAGACTAAAGCAGCTGAGGAGATGATTAATATCTGTCAGGATCACCAGGTGACATCTCAAGCTCATGGATGTATTGACTGATGTTCAATGGAGAAAAGACGGGATTTTACCCACAGTTTACGGCAGTTTAGGAAGAAAAGTTTATAGACAGAAATGGCATGAGTTATTTGAGTCATTAAACAGCTGAAGCTACAAAAGCTTTCTTTTTCTTACACAATAACTGGAGGATTTCCAGCCACTTGAAGTCTATCAGTCAAGTTTGTGTGTCTTCACTAAGCTCATACAGTTCAGCCAAAAACGGCACCAACAATGGAGCAAGCAGGACAAATTCCAGGGAATGATTATGACAAAAGTCTAAGCAATTTTTTTCAATCCTTTCTTTTAGATATAGAGTCTAATTCTGATAATGAATTCATATTATGCTTCACTGACATAGAACTGCCAAATTTAAAATCCTGGAAATGCTACTGCAGATCTACTTTCTCCCCAAACGGCTCATATGCCTTCTCTAGTTAAGTTTATGTTATTGTCTCATGTATTTCCTATTTGTCCCTAGCACAAGAGCAAGTGTGGGACAACTGAAGGTGGCAGAAGAGGAGTTGAAAACATAATACCCTTCAGGGTTCTTTATAAAAACAGTCCAGTGAGGAAAATAGGGTAGAAAGGCCTTTGTATACTGTAGACCAATTACAAACATTGCTGTCAGTTACAACCTTCTGGACATCTACAGAGTTCTTCCACAGTTACAACAAATTGCTAGGACACCAAAAAACAGATGAAAAAGTCAATAAACATGTGACATTTAAAGTAGCTTGTTGACCTCAATGGAGTTATTCCAAAGTTAGAGCAGCAAAACTACAGCCAGACTCCAGATACACATGAAAAATTACTGGAAATAATATCTTTCAGATGTCTGGATGGACTCTCTAAAGCCTCTTCAAATATAATCAGATGAACACTCCTGGTCAATCACACCACTATTAAAATACATAATCAGAGTGGTCATGGTCTCTCAAATATAATTGATTTTGTCCAGTTTATGAAAAGAAACATTTTGGGAGATAAGTAGAGTTGAATAGGGGTTTGTAGCGGATTTTTCTGTTGTTGTTTCAGGTGACCTCATGATGTATTTCCAAATCTGGAACAGCCTGTTCTTTTCTTTTAAAAACAAACTGAAAAAAATGTAGCGAATCTACATAAAGACTTTGCTGAGTGTATTTCTCCTTGATTCCATGTGAGATGATCAAGCAGTAGGTTTTCTTTTAAAGAATTCATTGGTTCTCTTATACCTCCTATATTTAATTATCTTCAATGTACTTCAAAGATACATTAAAATGTGGAACAGAGGAAAGAAAGGAAGCAAAAGGTTATTACCACATTACAGGTCATCTTCTGGTCACAAAATATTTTGCTGTCCAGGGACATTTACAACTTCAATTCTTTGATGGCACTTTAAGGAAAATAAAAGTAGTTATTAAACACACATCTATACGAGATGAATCATGTACAGATATCATATATATGTCTGAGATGAATCATTAATTTCCACTAGCAATTTAGTGATATCAGTTACTGAATTAATAACTATCTGTCTTGTTGTCAGGATAGGACTCTACCTCAGTTCCAATACAGTTTTACAAAATGCAATTTCCGTAAAAAGCAGTGGAGGCAAAAAGGGAAAGAGACAGAAGATGAAACAATAACATATTTTCTCTGCAATATGCAAACTTAGCTAGAAAAGAACCCAAGAGAACAGGGTAAAAACCATTTTTTAAAAAATGTAACTGTGCAAAATACCAGATGCAAAGTCCAGACTGTGAGGTAAATCACCATCCGTCCTAGATAATCAGAGAGTAAGCAGAGCAGGAAGCAAACAGCAAGAGGTTTCTTTGTTCACAGATCCAAGTGCTTCCTCGCCAGTTCTCACTGCACATCACTCTGCTTTCTCCTTCACTCTCTTCGCTCTGTCCCAGAGCAACACAAGCAGTGATTCTGCAGGTAACACTTTCGGTTTCCATCCTTGTCTCTCACTGCCCATGGCCCAGCTACCCACAGGCATGGTCCTGTCAAACTGCTCTGCAAAATCCTTCCATACATATAAGTAAGCTTCTCGCTGACCTGCTGTATGGCTTTTCTTCTGCATTCCCAATCAATTCAGTTTTTTACTCTAAATATGAATTTTCCTGTATCTTATATCCACTCTTCATCATCAGGTATTTGTCAGACGCTGCTTTCTTTGAAATCACTGTCCTAACAATGATGCATGAGAAGAATACAACCCCTGGTACGCATGTTTAGTAACAGACTGAGAGTAGACCTTAGAACAGAAAAAGACATAAAGGGATGGAATTTATGAAACCAAATAACAAAACAAATACTACATTTAAAAATATTTCAAGTCATGTGGGCCTCAGCAGGAATCAAGAGCTAACATGTTCAAAAGCCCCAGGTTAATTTTTAAAATAGTATTAGAAGCATGTATAATTGTTGACCCTTTAACTGGAAAGGTATGAAACATGGTTTAACTTGTTTAAAAGGCAGTTTAAACTTGTTAAAAGGCACTAGTTGCAGCATTGCACTAATTCCTGCCTGAGTTTACTACTGAAAAAAATGGGGAGAACCATGTGGATTTACATTGAACCTCACATAACTTCTTGACTTCACAAGCTTCCACTGGATTTGAGTTCAGGGGCTTGCAACGGTCAAGGTAGAATTTTATCCGTAAGTGTTGCCCAATAAGTAGTTGATAAACACAAATAGCTGATGGGAAGTTCTATAACTTCAGAATGGGTAGGGGAAAAAAGTCAGAATAACAGGACTAAATGAAGAGAAACAAAATTCAATCAAAAGACCACAGGTGAACAAGTGTGACCATTTAATGTGCCTTCACTTCAAACCAAAAGCAAACAAATCAGCAATCATCTCTAGTAAAAAGTACCTGGAAAAAAAAAATAAATGTAAAGAAGCAAAGTACAAAAAGCAGCTGCAAAAATCATTAAAATGTGGGCTCCTTTATGAAAATTAATACTACCTTAATGCTAACAGATATATAACACAGGAATGATTTGTGCCTTTGCAGTAGATCACCACAGATGAGAACTCTTTTCCCTGCTTTAGCAACATTAAAATAATTACTTATAATAACCCTGTTTACCAACCTTAATGCATGTACATTGTATCAAATATTTCTCTGCCTCATTGTGAGACTGTCTATCCTTCTTCCTTGCCTGTGTCTCATCCAGCCCAGACTTTCCTCTTTGCCCCAGCCCACAACTACTGCTGCTTTACTACCAGCAAGACTCCAGCACATCCTGACCCCAGGATTTTACTATGGAAATTTTTATCATTCCTATATGTCTGGCCTTTTCTTGTCTCTCTGAGCTCGTCTTTATCATAGTCCCACTGTGACAGTCCCCTATCTACAGGAAGTCCAATTTCTACAACTACACCAACTTGTTAGTGATTACTGCCCTGAACCCAGACTAGATCTGCCATTTGTGAAGTTTCCCTCAATGTTTTGTTCTGTCAGCAGCCGTTTCCTCCACTGATTTCACTGCTCATTTGGCTTTCTGTGCCCCTGCCCTTGTGCACAGAACTCCTTGACAGCTTACAAAAAGAGGCCTTTTTTTCCACACCACCATAACTTGCAGACTCTCCTACTGCCTCATTCCTCTAGGGACTTCCAAACCTAGCAGGCATCTGACTTCCCTAATTGCCCTGTCATAGAAAAAGCCAAAGTAAACGCCTTTCAAACAACTCATAACATTACCATTCAAGGGAAGTAGTCAAGTTCCTATTGTCTGAACTGTTTAAACTAGACAGTACAAAGCATCACACAGTACACATGGGGAAAACCCAATATTCACAAGGGACTAAACTTGGCAACCTAAAAGGTGTTTTCTGTCTCCACTTTTTGTGATAGCCTGAAGTGCTTTCCTGAATTAAGGCAGAAAATGGCACTTGGAGGTGAATCTTTCTTCCAGTGTAAATAATGGCTCTAGGTTACATCATGCAACTTTACTTCCTCGGCTTAGGTATGCATCTGCAAGTGTCAGTTCAATTATCCTTAGCAGTTTTATTAGTTATTCTTCTAGCACCCATGAAGGAACTACTTTTGTTTCCTGCTTAGTGTACTGGAGTGATTTAACAGCGCAAAATCACATCTCTGAGACCACCTTTAAGAAACTGGTCTCTCCAAACCGTATGCTGAATGTCACAGTTCTGGTCACCCCTCAAATTCTGTTCTGCCTTCTTTGCCAAAAGCTGACGAATTGGCACACTTCCATGAGCAGAGACAGGACAGCACTGCTGGGGAAGGCATGGGGAAGGCATGAACATTTGTGTACCACATGGGAATGTAGATGCCTAAGGAAGCACAGAGTAGGAGAATGTCAGATCCATAACCAAGCAGTACCTTTTTCCCCACAGAGATGGAGTGTAGGAGGAATGCCTCCAGGGTCTCTTGGCTCCACAGTCCTTCTCTGACCAGATGGGCGTTTTTTTCACACATGCAAACCTTCAGGGTTTAGCCAAAGTATTCACCCTGTGACCAGAAATGGGTTAGACCTAAACTGTAACTCCGATGATTAATCTTCATAGCCTTCATTTTATTGTTTTAAACCCTAATATTTACATTTACATCTAACTCAGCCACTTACCAGGCTCTTCAGCTCATTTGTGCATTGGTTTTAATTTTTTCTCTCAGATGGTTAAGGAGTTTCAGCTGTTGGTAGAAGCAAACAAGCCAAAAAGCCAGTGAACATGCCAAGGGGAGCGCAGGGCTAATATCCTGTAGCCTTTACACATCTACTGAGGCTTTGTGTCAATTGTAAGGCCTCTTGTTTTACTGCACACTTGGCTTAGTTGGAGCAGGACTCCTGTAATGTCAGCCAAGAGGACCCACACACAGTCACTGAAGCCCCAGGAAGAAAAGAATTAACAGCCTTCAAAAGTGGAAAAGTTTTAAAAAGAGATATTTAAAAGATTTGACTTGCAGCCAAGTGTTAAACAGTAAATATAAGTTTTAAGTGTCTTAACGATTGAGATGAAGTATCATAATTCAGCAGCATGGAATGGGACCTCTTACTGGGAGAAGCTAAAGAAGAAAAATGAACCAGCACAAAAGGAAGCCCCTCTGGGGAAGATCTCACACATTTGGGTCTGGAGTCTTGTTAGAGTAGGCCAAAACCTGATACTTTTATCTCCAACCTTTGACCCTGACATCTGGAAACTTAGTTTGAGTCAAACAGAAGGAAGTGTTTTTTTCTATTTCAAATACTTTATAGAAGAAAAACTTCAAGTATCTACAGTCAAATCTGTTAGTACAAACCACTTCTATTTATGCACTTGTAGTGAACTCTAAAATATGGAACATTTGTGCAGGAAATGCACGCGTCAGAACTTTTGGGAAAAGAGAGTAACTTGGTGAGACTGGCACATTGTTCAATGCTTGTATGGGATCCAGATAACAGCCCAGATAAACATCTCCAAGGGGGTGCTGAAGAGTATAAAAGGTCCAGTTCCTTTGATGTTCTTAGATGTTCTCATTTAATAGCTATCAGCCCTGGTGCCAGAAATAATAACATGTTTAAACATTCTGTATCAAAACACAAATTAAATGCATTTAGCGTAACCTGTTTCCAAAGTTAATTTTCATCTTTAGTTGGAACACTAAGTGTGATGTAACTCATGTTCTTCCTGGTAGTTATTTTCATTATTATGTTTATTACTCATTTAAGAGCCTTTTTTTTTTTTTTTTTTTTTTGAACAGAGGGATTAATGAATTTAGACTGCACATTATAACATCAAAAGCTTTGGTTTCAAATAAGCCCATCTGAGCTACAGGAGATTTTCTCCCCTTATATGAAGCTAAACAGCAACTTCAAAAACATATCTCAGTTACAGTATTATTTTCTAGTTGACTGAAGTCATGGGTTTTATGTCAACCTGTTACATTTGCATATAATAAATTACTACTTACTTGTATTGTCCAAGTGACTCCTTTAACCCACAATCTGTTTAGAAGTCAGATGCTTTCAGCAGATACCAGCTCTCTTCTCTGGAGGATTTATGATCATGTGAAAGAACAAAAATAATAATAAAGGGGCCTCTTTTTCAGGATTCAAATGATTATTTGAGATCAGATCATCAGAAGGGGGGAAGACATGCAAGGAATTGTACATCGTGTTGTTCAGGCCAGTAAGAATAAAATAGGAAATAAAGAGCACAACATAACATTTAGCAAAAATATTTCTAACCTGATATGTTCCTTTTGATCACTAAGCCTTCCATTTACAAGTGAATATTTTTTTCACCTAATATTGATTAATGGTAAAATCTCACAGGATGGGCATACAGAGGTCTCAGAAATCAGCCTGACTTTATAAATGAAGGTAGAAATTTGCAGAATTTTCTGTTCAGTAGAGCCTTCTAGGATATCTGAAATCCCTCATCAGTTATTTTACTAGAAATAATAGAATATTGTTTAACATGTTGGCCAAAATACTAAATTACTCCATGCAAGATAATTTCCTAATTATTTTCACTGAGTCTTGAGAGCTTTGCAGAACTGCTTTTAAAAGAGTGTCGTATCTGAGTTAAATCTGCCTCTGCATTTCCCCATGTGGACAGAACACCTCTCAGCAGTGGAAGATATAGGTCCCACCTAAGGAAATTAATAATTAAGCTTCACCTTTTATTGTGCAGAGAATTTTACTGTGCTTGAAGGAATTCAGTCACTAGGAAGCAGCAATACACATCTGCAGTAAAAATCAAAGTACCATCTCTGCTCAAAAGTCATCCATATATCTTGAAGTTAGTGCGGATAAACACTATCAAAGATTAGATTTTTTTTAAAAGATCAGCAAATTCCTCTTTGGAAGCAGGTACATGCATGATTGTCTCTGGTCTAGAAAACAGGACTCTTGCAGGAAATGTAAGCAAGTGGAAAGGAAGCTCTGTCATTCTGAACCACGAAAACAGAGGAGTTCTTCTCCACATTGTTTTACACAAGACTGCGTAAAACATATTTGCAGTTGCTGAGATTTTCATCCTGCCCCTCAAAATCACCTCCCATACTAGAACAACTAATAGCACCGTATGAAATGACCCTCCTGCTTTTCTTCCTGGTCTCAAACCGCCCCTATGAGATCTCTCTTCACGTGGAATTGTCTACTACCCTCTTACAACTCTATTTGCCAAAAAGGTGGCCAAAAGAAAAAGAAAGCACACAGCCACCAAAATGTGCACTTCAGCAACAAAACCAGACCACCTTAATTAATATTTACATTATGATAAAGTAAGCAAGTCATCTTTGGGCACTTCACCCGAGGTAGCAGACTGCTGCTCCCCTTACCTCATCTGGTCCTCACAAAAGGCCGTCCTGTTGACACTGTCATCCACGTGAGTGCAGTTGGCTGCTCTACAATCAGCAAGCCTGTTTCCACAGCTCTGGCTGGAATGGCATTAGGCTCATCATTCACAGGTAACTCCGGCTCTAAGAGGAAGGTCATGCTACTCAGCTTAAAGGTTTTGGTCAATAAAACAGCATTCACATTTTCTCTCTCTTGAAACCCGGAGTTGTGGCAGATGACCATCTCCAGGTTTACAGGTAGGCTGTAGTTACTGATGCACATACTCACAGTACCTAGACACATTACCAATCTTTATGATTAATTCAAGTCTTACATTAGCATGCTCCAATCATACAGTGTCCAGAAGATGAAAGGTCAGGTGACCTTTTGGTCAGTTATCCATTCCTCAGTTCTTTCAATTCCTCAATTCGTTACACAAGCAATGTAAACTGTTCAGTTGGTGAAGTCTTGACCTGTTTTATTTTACATACAAGTGTTGGAAAAGTTGATACAGAAATTAAGGCAATCAAGTAAAAAACCCACAGAAATTATTTGACACTTTAACATGATATTTGATAATTTGATATAAATTGATATTATTGAATTGATATTTTAGTATACAGGAAAACTAGGTAAAATTATATAGGTGGGAGAGATTTCATTCCTTCTTTTCTTCACAGCTCCAAAACTAAATAAATAGCACAAGTGCCAAGTCAGATGGGTTTTTCAATCTCCTAAATTTTCTTATGTCTTAACTCTACAGTACTGCGAGGGACGTTCCTTTTGAAGCCCAAAGCCAGCATTAACATTTATGGGAGTCATACACGCATCAAAAGAAAAACTTACTTTAAACAGATTATAATCTGAATATTTTTTCTCTGACCACTACAATTGCAGGATTTATATAGAGGAAACTGCAAAAATTTCTTGTGTTATTTCTGCTGCTGCTGAATACCTGTATGGTGGGGAAAAGAGAGGAGCTAGAGAGCCAGAATAAGAGTGGAAGAGAGAGAGAGAGAGAGAGTGGGAAGGGGGACAGGGAAAGAAACACACTTCCCAGATGTGAAAATCCTTTAGAACAGTTTCTATTCTTCTTGGTATGTTTTCCTTAGCCTTTGGGGACCAACACCTTATTGTGCACATATTCAGAACTGTGTGTAGAATGTTTCCCTTTCCAACAAGACCTTTCCAAGATATTTAAAGTCTTTGTACATAATGCCATCAAGTACTTATATTCTCTTCCATTTTTTCAGTGCGTTCTGATCCAACAAATTAATGTATGTTCCCATCACTATTTTGTGATTAAACCCCCCTGATCTTTACATGCAAAAAAGGATTCCTTGGTCATACATTCCTATTAGAGAGGGTTGATTAAAAGAGTCCCTTATTCTGATCCATTCTATTCCTTTCCAGTTTAATCTTTTAGAGAAATAGCTCCACTTCCTTTTCCTTGCTTCTTCTCTTGACTATTTTTAATAGATTTTGCCATACATATTCTCTTTTATCTGTTGTGTAAATTTAAATTTAGCAAAAATGTTAACTTAAGCTCTTCTTTAAAGGAGTGAGGCGGTTCTGTGACCATTTAACAGTGTTCACTGTAAATTCATCTTAAATTTGGTCTTGGCCATAGGGCCAAAAATCCCTGCTGAGAATCCCCTGGAGCCTAGCCTTGGATTCAGAGGGTCAGCAAATCAGAGATGTTTAAAAATATATTCTGGGTTCCACAAATAAACAACTTTTCAGTGATACCATGTTTCTTTGGGAAATGCTCTTGCTGCTATTCAAGGCAAGATGTGAAAATCAGATCCCATGATTACATGGGAGCTGTCAGTTTGTACTATGAAGAAACTTGGTTGTCTTCTCTGTAAACCCAGATCATCTCAACAGCCCTCATGTAGTAGAGATGCTACTACCAGTTGGTATTGGAGTTTTATGTATTTGCAGCACTAAACCCCACAATTTTCCCACTCCACTTCTCATTATGTTGTTTAGACCCTCAAGAGGGGCTTTATTTCATGAGCTGTAGAGTAAAGCATTGGCCTTACTGTGGCTATATTGATCTGGTCCCCTATTTACAGCTGTCTTGGGTATCTCTACTTTCACCTGGCATCTACAACAAGGACCCTAATTTAGGCCACTGGCTCAGGCAACAGAGATCTTTCCTATAACACATCTTATCTGTCACCACCTGTTTTTAGAAAAATGAGACCTGATGCATGGTCATTTGAACAGTTTAGTACTGCAGATGTTTTTGATACCTGTTTCTGGTTTATGAAATATTATTCTTTCAGCAAGCTGAAAATTACAGCTGACCAAGTAAACTTCCTCCACAGTATAGCAAATGGGGTGTTTCCTTGAAATACAACTGATGTTCACATGTGGTTTGCTCCTCTCTTAAGACAGTGACAGAATATTAACCAGGTTGTCAGGCAGATATGCAGGAATACGTTTGTATTACAAAATCACCACATAAAACTATAAAGGTTTCCTTGTCAAAACTTTGCAAAGCCAAGATAAGAAGTTAATATATACAAGGTAATTAATAAAAAAATGAGAAAAGTAGTAGTTGACATACTAGTTGCTATTTGGGTGCTAGTGATCAGATCCTATGAAATAAAAAGAATTTTACATGTAAGTTAAAACATTTATTACAGGTGCTTAATCATGAAATCCGCTTAATCGGGACATTTCCCAGGGAACCAAATTAAGCCTAATGATACTTAATGGCAAGGACTGCTGCTTAATTGGGGTGGTAATTCCAGTTAATTGGGATTCCTGCAGGTGAGTAAATGGTACTCAAATAGAGATACTGTATATGGCCTTCATGATGTTCCAATATTGGTGGTACTTTGTCTTCCCTCAAACAGCCTCTCATGCCACCGGATCAGCAAAGCAGAATTACTTCTGTGATCCCATTTTGGTCCTTTCAAACATTGCTTAACATTACAATCACTCTCTCTGGGCTGGCAGTACAAGAGGACTGCTTTGGAATCTAGCAAATCTGAATTTGTGGATTTATTTGCATTTGAACAGGATTTTAGAAAGATCAAACTCAACATCTTGCCTGACCAAGGAGAAGATTTTTAATAATCTTCAGACATTATGGAGATGCCAAAAAGATATTTGAAAAGTGTTGGTAGCCATTTCAACTGCAAAACGGTATGCCCTAATTAGAAAGGTTTCTGCACCAGTTTATGAAAATAAATATTTTACTATCAAAAAAAACCCCTAATATAAATCCTTTTTCCAATACTAAGACAGGGAAAGGCCTACACCGTCATGGCACACTTACTATTGCTCAAGGTTTTAATTTACTCTGTCACACACACACACAGCCACACACTAAAATACTTGGATTTTTTTTTAACTGTTATTAAAATATGCTTAAATATTATTCAGGCTTTTACACAGCACCAGAGACCCTGAAAATGAAAACTGCTAATGGCAGTCAGCTTATTAGAAAGACACATTTTCATCATTACTTCCTGAGGTCCTTGTATTCTCCGGAGGAATGGTACACAGCGCTCCGCACGCTGCTCCATCTCTCGCTGAGATGGAACACAGGCAAGTTGCCAGGTCTTGGGAGAGAGAACTGGAGCTGCAGTGCCTGCAGCTACCTGGGGAGAGCTGCTATTCTCTCTGTAGGTTTCCAAAAGCACAGCAGACTGGCCTGACTCCAGAGCTACTGCCTCTCACAAATCCTAGATATGCTCCTCAACTGTTCGGCTGTCTTGGGAATTCTCGGAAGAGACAGAACCTTGGTTGCAGCAGTCTCTGCAAAACTCAGGCTGCCATTGAGCCCCTACTGGGCTGGCTGCTTATCCTGCACAGTCTAGGGCTGCTGGCTGGGAGGATAAGATCCCACCAGCAAACTGAGAAAGGTTGACTGCAAGATTCAGGCTGCAGGACCACAGCATCCTCAGGTGAGTTCAGGCCTAATTGCAGCCAAGAGATTCCCAGAAAACAGACTTTACCTTTCATTGTGGCACATCCACCCACCCCTTTTTGAGCCTTAGGCAGGCTGCTGCAACTCAAGCAGCGCTGACATGCAAGAAGACACGCTATTACCAAGAGCTGGGATCCCCACAGCCCCCATTTGTTGCTGAAATCTCGATGGTGCCTCTGTCAGCATCAGCTGCTCCTGACTCCTGGCACCTGCTGAGATCAAAACCGTACCTGATTTTTCCCCCACCACTTCAAGCAGTGGTTCATTTTCTCAAAACCTTTCACAACAGAAGTGTTCCAAACAGAAAAGGAAACATTCTGAAAATATTTGGTGGGACTGATTTTTCTGTTAGCACATAGTGTACCTCGCCGTAAGGATTACTGCATTCCACTGTTCTAGACGGTGAATGCCAGCAGGAGCTCTAGTTTGTACAGCTAGAGACTAGTACCTCTGCACATACTTCCTTGAGCCTCTGTCTGTGTACCTCTTTAGTCCAAAAGCAACATGCAATACGTGATTTCTATTCAGCTTTGCAGTGGAGAGCTCCAGAATGAGAAATCAGACTCGAGGGATGAAATATTAGCCAATAAAAGCACCTAAATCAGATTTAAGGTGTGTTGGACTTTGTGTTCTCAGGTATTTATAAGCTGCAGATACATTTGAAGTTTCAACAATCAGAGCTTGCAAAAGGAAAACAATAACTTCAGAATTAGAACAGTTTGATCTTTGCTGTGGAGCTGTTCAGGCGCTGTAGTTAAAACGCAATGAAATTCTCGGGTGAAGTACAATACAGTTCACAAAAATCTATACTGTAATGATGAACGTAGTTCTTAATTTATACCTAATCATGTGCACTGCATCAGATGAGCAAGAGCATAGCTACAAAATAGTGTATATGCTCAAATCTAAGTGGAAGCCATTTTTTATGCTGATCTCACACTTGAAGTTACAGATTCTTCACAAAGCTTATCATAAAATATTCACAGAACTAGAAGAATATCAGTGTTACCAAATCATTCACAGTCAAATGATAACTTATAGTAGCAGCTCTTTCTCTTCTTCAGAGAACCCACATACAGAAAATCAGTCGCTGAGTAAAATGAAGATCCACCTGACATGTGAGGACTACCTTTAAGGCAGGATTTGACCAACAATATCACCTTTGATTTCCTCTGCACTGGTAGAAATCAGAGGTTTGCTGTTAAGCACTGTCACTGGAGAAAGAATAGCAGCAGTAGAGATAACATCAGTAACCAGCTAAAACAGTGGAAACAGAACTATTTTTCTATTTGACATTCCTGTCAAAATTTTAAACTATTTTCTACTGATTCATGTATGCTGCCAGTTCCAAAACAAAGGTAATCAGGATTACTTATCCTCAAGAAATGCTATTCTAGAAACAAGAACTCGCACAGACTGCCAGAACCCACCAGGAATTAGATGAGGGATTTTAATGGACTCTACAGCAATTTTCACTGTTTAAGAGGAAGAAATGGAATGAGTTTAAATAAGTAAAATGTAAATTAATAATCATCATTATTTTGAAAAAAAGTTGAAATGTCAGAAAAAAATAACTGTAAGAGAAGATTAATGAGGACAGCAAAAGAAAAAGGAGAAAAAAGAAAATAAACAATTATTAGAAAAGTCAAGATTGTTAGTGTTAGGAATTAGTTATTGCAATGAAATACAAGGGCTCAAAAATGATTGAGTCAGCAGGTGATCAAAAACATAAATGAATATTAAAATAATGAAGGACAGTAAGTCAAGGTGAACTAACTGAAAATCAAGTCAGAATGATTTTAAGGCATTAGTAATGAACTTAAAGGGACAGCTCCTCCACAGGTAGAAATCCACCAGAGCTATGGTGATTTAGACCAGCAAAAGACATGCCGGTGTGCAGTCATTAAATACAGGAAAAACCCAACCTTTCTCTCCTGGACCATAACTGGAAGGAAAAAAAGGGAGCAGTCACCAAGACAAATTTCTGCCAGGAATACAGCATGCTAAAACTTTTCAGAAAAATAATTTACTCACTCAGAAATGCAGTCAGAAGTCTGCTGTCGAAAAATTAAATCCAGAAAACACACAATTCTAAAACATTTTGTTTTAATGTTTCTGAAAGCATTATTGAGTTTTTCATACAAAGTATTTTAAACTGACAAAAATTAATATCTGAAAAGATGTTAAAACTCCATTTCAGATTGGAAAAATGTTTCACTTGAGCTAAAATAATTTGGGGTAGTTCATTTCGTTCAGAAAATTGAAAATCCATTCTTTTCACAGTTCTGTAGCTCAGATCATTTATGGAGACTCTGATATTTGCTCTAATCTCAGAAGTATCTAATATACAATCAAAACCTATATATTTCCAGTGTGTACAAATGATTACCCTTTAAACAATGCAATATGCATAAATGGAAAACCCTACTCCAAATTCAACTGACAACAAACCGATTTGTATTTATTTTAGGAACATAAGTTCTTAAAAGAATGAAAGATTTTATGACATGAACCACAAATAAACGTAGCACAAGATACCTCTACATATGGAGATGGAGATACTTAGCAATGCAGTCAAAACGATTACTGAATGACAGGATCACAACTGAAAAAACATTTTGCAAAATATAAAGCACAAAATCAACACAAAATAACTTATAAATGTCCCCTTTTGAATGTATGACTCACATCATAACATCTAATAATTCATTTAAGGAACACCTCTAACTGGTAACTATCAGAATAGCACACTTAACTTCATTTAAAGGCTTCATACAAGAAAGTAAGGGAATTAAAGCTGG